TATATATAGAAAAAGCTTTAAATTCAACGCACAACAATCTATAAAGTAGTTAAATAGATATGCAACAAAAGTATATTCTCACGTGTACTCCGTGTTTGGAAGTGTAAAACTGCCACACATTGTCTTAAATATAAACTGAATAATATTGCAATAGATGTATACGATAAGTATTTAAAAAAAATATTAAATGGAATCTACAAAGATTTGGTTTCGTTTGGAAGTAAAGAAAACGTCATTAACAAATTAAAAGTGCAACCAAGATGTCTTTAAAGAAATTATCTCACAAAGAGAACTGAAAATCCGTATCAGAAGTAAGTCTAATTATCAATCAGCACATTCTTTACATCACGTCGCTCTCTTCACGGCACGTCTACAAGTCTCTAGTCCTCTGGCCAGTTCTCCAACCCTATGTGCTTTCATAGACCATTTGAAATTATCAAGAACATGATTTGGAACCATCATTTATAAAAGAGTACATCTCCGTGTGGGTTCCGGGGTCCTATTATAAGGAGGGAGGGGGGAGGAACAAGAATAGACCCACTGCCTACCCAAAAGCATGTCGTAAGAGTCGACTAATTGGGAGCTTGCTTCGAAGTCGAAGTGCATCTGCCTGAGAGGCAAGGAACCAGCTGTCTGCATACAAATGATTCAGATATGTAAAACCGATGCACACGCAACACTCAGGTTCTGGAACAGGACTGCAGTGCAGAAGTGGACGAACAACCAGAACTTTCCGCCGAAGTTACAGCCGGGGAACGCGAAGAAGAAGAAGCGGAAGAAGAAGAAGAAAAGGAAGAAGAAGAAAAGACGACATTGTCTGTGGGTGGAATGGGGTGCACTTCCACGAATAATCAACACAGGGGCTATATAGCTTAATAATAAATTATTACTACTACACATGATGGCTCAGTTGGAACCTTATTCACCGCGAATAGTAATTACATGGGGAGTCTCTGTGGCGGAGCGGCTAGACTCTCGCCGCGGATCAGAAGGGTTCGCTCCCTGGCGGAGCCAGACTTTTTTCAAAAATGACCTTGGCTCCTATGTCGACCCAGCCTTGAGTGTGTACAGGGTGCAGTCCCAGGAAATTGTGGCGGCCGGCGTGATGCTGATCATATCACCTATCTTGTGCCGATTGGTCTATAAAATATAGGTCTAGCCCTATATGCCTTAAGGCGTGGAAAAGGGTCCTTTACTTTAAAAAAAAAATATTTCATACATTCATACGTCATCATATTTATGTAGCAAGTCTTATCCAGGACGTCCCACTCGCAATTGCGCAATAGAAAGACTCGATCCTTCACTAGTTCTGCCGACCCAAGCATTTCAATAACCGGTCTCTTTAATACCTTCTGTATTAACAGTCGTGTTAATCTGGTACCTGCTTATGCTTCCAAACTGACTTTACAAAAATATTTTTAAAAAATGTGTAGGTCTTATAGAGTTTAATTAACCAGTTCTCTTCGATGTTCACATCCTGTAACGTGTATTATTTTATTCTTATTTGACCACACTACATTCTAATAATTTTGCTGCAAGTTCAAAGCTCTTCATGTGGTCTCGGGTGTCCGCCTCGAGTGCTAGAGGTTCCGTGTTCAATTTCAGGTATGGGCTAGGATTTTTTCACGTACACATGGACTTCTAGTAACTCCTCCTGTTCTCTAGGTAGTGAGATCGGACGCCCGTGTGCATTGTTGCGCATGCTAAAAATCCTTTGGCAGTTGGAAATCGAAAAGAGTAGCCTAACGCCGCTGCTAAATCTGAAGTTAAAAATATACCCAAAGTATTTTATGATCCTCGCCGGTGCTACAGAGCCTGTGCACTGTGCTGAGCTTCTTCGGACTCAGACTTGAGTTAGAAGAAGACCGGAGCACTTACGGGCTACTACCCATGTGCTATAATGTTGATTCGTTGTTCAAACTTCAAACTTCTTCATTTTCGCTTATAATGTTTGCGAATGGTCCGTGATTCGCTCCCGAATTTTGCTACGTTGACAGTATGAAATTAAAGTTACAGATACAGTGCAGACCGCTTAAGGCGATCTCGAATGTGACGAATTTCTGTTGTCAAGAACAATTAATTTATCCCCTGCAATTTTTCTGGCTTGAAATCTTGTCTGGATAAGAAGAATTTCTGCTGATAAGAACTTTCTGGAGTTTCTGGTGAGTTCTCGATATCAGGTCTGCACTGTATTAACCGACACACATCTGTCCATCCGTTTATGAAAAATAAAAATCGACAACTTTAAGATAACTGCGAGCAGTATCGGTTATAATTACGGTCTGGTTTCTTTGTGCCAATTAGCAAGCCGAGATTATAAGATCTACTAGACAGCAGAAATGATTTACCAACTCCCCTTCCCCAGATATGACAGGATCTGTCTGCAGAGTGAAGTGTCCTTTGATACACGATTAATTAGACGTAAAAATTATATTCATTTGGGTAGCCAGGCCTATCATCCACATGAGCCCACTAGGTATAGAACACTGACTCAATCTATATGGGCAAGGGGGGTGCGTGGTCTCGAGGCATGTGTCGTGAAGTGAGCAGCCAACCCTACACGATGGACGAGTCGTGACTCTGACTTCCCTAAGAGGGCAGTCATATTTCAAACTTAAACACGTCCGGAGGGGCATATGGTCCCTTATACTGATATATACTTCTATTTGGTGAAAGATACATTTCTTGACCCTCTAGTTGCTTTGATAAATCTTCATTTTCAAACTTGCAACTGTAGGGTGAAGATTTCTGGTGTTTAATTCAGAAATTCCTGTAAGCCGGTTTACTCCTTAGGCATGGATACAGGGACTTCTTTCCTAGAAACGCCAAGTTTAGGTTGAGCGGGATTCTCTCGCCTGATTCCTAAGTGTCAAGACGTGTATACAGTCTATGTAGAAAATTGGCGCATTCAAAGTACCAGTTCTATATTGGAAGAATTCCTAAGCTTGAGTAAGTTGATTATAGTTTTTAAGTTGGCCACTGCTGCAGAGAGGGAAGATTCAGTTGTGTGATCGCACAGAGTTGGGCCGTTCTTGATGTCCAGATATCAGGCTCCGAACATTAAACCTTTCCCTGTGCAGACTAAATAGTTTGTGCTCAACATAACCCACACCATTTGTAAAGATATTAAACCCTACAAGTAATTTTTCTCTGACCAGACAAACGAAGTTTTGTGCCTCCTAACAAGAGACATGGAAACTGGGTCATCTTTTAAGTTAACTGCTGTAACGCTCTGAGTCAAAAGTGTGTGTGACACAGATTCAGTTGGTGTGTAGCGGACAACCTGTGGAGACGTGAAATTTATATAGGTACTAACTGTAGACATTGTATGTCTGCGAGTGCAGATGTGAGGGTGGAGAGAGGATGATCTATGTGTGGTAGTGTCTATCTATCTCCACTATATACCTTGTTTCCTATCTGTTGCACTATTTTACAGACAGATTAATGAAAGGAGACATTGTCTACTGTTCTTGAGAGTTACACTCTGAGGAATGGAGAAAGGTAGCAGAGGTGGGTGAGCTGGTGTGTGAATAAGGCTGATTACTAATTCTGAGTTCTTTCCTGACAGGATGATACTTTCTTAGAGATCAGGCAGACGAATCACAGCCCAGCCAACAACCACCAACCCATACGATTCTGGGCACCAAGTATACCCAAAAGTCCTGTATATTGTTGCCACTACCTCAACATGGCAAGAGCTTGTTTGTGAGTTCCAGGACTGGTGGACAATTGCAGACACTTATGTCATCAATCCCGAGAAACAGTCTTTAAGAGCTTTGTTGGGCTCTTATGCAGTTCTTGTGTCCGCACCAGTGAGACAGTCAGCAGGCACCACAGTCTTCAAGAGCTTTGTTGGGCTCTTGTGCAGTTCCTGTGTAATCACCTGTGAGACAGTCAGCTTGTACCAGATCAAATCGAGGCATAGCTACCTATTGAGTCATCCACAGTCAAATCACAATGGACTGAGGAGAGCAGTGACCTACGAACTGGAATAAGTGATCTATTAATTAAAATCATGCTCTCTTCCCACAGCACCTTGTGATTTCGATGATGAACTCATGTACCCTCAAAGAACTGTATCTGGCTGCTTCAATATCTGAGTTGTGTCATTGATTCCTGAACTCCATTAACTGATCACTCTTGATTATCAATTCATTTATATTTGTATTTATATTGTACTTATTACATGCAGAAATTTCCATGGCTGACTTGGGTGTCCCTGTTTCACCATTCTAACTGTTTAGCTTTTATGTTTGTATTAGTAATAAGTGTAATCTGTGTTAACATGGTTTTGATAGTATAATATCATAACCTGGGGGCTACCTTTTTATAGTAGTGGGGGTGTCCAGCCAAGTGTGCCTAGGAATATTATATATTTTGTAGTGCCCAAGCTTGAGTTGCCCTACTCCTGAAATAAGTTGAGCGTATATTGGCCACGGGATATCCCTTAAACCAATACGAGCCAACGACTTAACATAATTATTTCAGAGTGCTGTTGGTTCTTAAGGAGAAAACCTTAAATCAGGCACGTGACAGGAGCGATATGTGAAAGCATGGTGTCCGCCTCGAGTGCTAGAGGTTGCGGGTTCAATCCCCAGTAAGGGCTGGGATTTTTTTCACGAGGACTTGGACTTCTAGTAATTCCCCCTGGTCTCTGGGTAGTGAGATCGGACGCCCGTGTGCATTGTTGCGCATAGTGTATAATATATTATTACGTACTGAAAGAAAATTAGGCCCTTTAGCCCTCATAAAATTTGTAAAAGGGCTAAGGTCCCTCCCGTAATCTCATAGCCTTCTCCCGAATGTTTTCTTTTTGTCGGCGCAATTGTCAGAGAGACATAAACATGTTTGATCCACGATTTTGAACTACAGGTATGGTTTTTTTTTTAAAGGTAGGGTTTTGCGAGCGAATAAGCGAGAGAAAAAAAACAAGACCGGGACGGAAACGGAAGGTGCGAAACGAAAGTGGGTTGGGGTGAACAACAAATGCACCAAAGTCATCACAGATCACTTTGAGCTGATGTTTTTGAGCTGAATTGTCTCGTCTTTCGTGTTTGAATCGGACCAAGGCTTTGCTTCTTGCCCGATTTACACAACACTAAATGCGTGATGTGGTGCGACTTGTTGGACAAAATCTCCGGGAAATGGCTGCCTTGGATCTGGGAGCCATACTTGAGCCAGCTGTTGACAAAATCTTCTGGTTTGATTCTTTCGTTTGGGAGTACCGGCTGTGTGCACGTTTTTGATCTGTCTCCTTCTATTTCCTTTTGGGAAGGTGGAACTCTTTCTACCTGAAAAGTTAACGTTTAAAGTGGGCTCAGTAGTTAAAAGGATGTTCAATTAAGAATCGACATGACAGCACTCAGGACACTACCATAAGCGCTCCGTCTGCATCTTCAGCAGCAAGCGAAGAGTTCCAATTCCGATAGTACCGATAGTTGATTTAACATCCGTCTCACACTCCCCTTGAGTGTTGAGCGTCGGTCAGATCATCCGGCAACTCTCCGCGGCGCCATTCTCCTCAGACCGTAATGAGCTATTTGTTGCTCGGCACTGTTCACTCGCTCCCAAAGTACGCTCACAACATAGAGCTTGTCACACATCAGTTCACCACTGAGTGGTGCAGACCCGGCCAGTCTGTCTGACTGCTAATTTCCCAACAGTATTTGAAAAGGACGGTATGTGTGTATATGTTCTTGCTGTTGCTGCTATTATTATTTGTTTGTCCTTTTTTTTGCTTGTTTGTTTGTTACTTCCTTTGCAGTTGTTATTCCTGCTTCTCTTTCCCTCCTCCTCCTCATTATTCTTTTTCTCCTCCTCCTCCTCCTTCCGCTACTCATTTTCCTTCTTTTCTTCTGCTTCTACTTCATCTCTTTTTTCTCATTCTCTTCCTCCCCCTTCCATTATCACAATGAAAGCAGTCTCCATCAGTAACTGTCTTTAAACAGGATGCGAATGTTAATTTTCCTGCTATTTTAGGTGATTGCGCCTGAAAAATTGCATAGCCAACTGTTTATAGTTTTTTTCAATGGATAAAATTCACGGCCATAAACCATAAACAAGTGGCTATGAAATTTTTTCAGGCACAATCATCTAACATAACGACGCAGTAAAATTTTCAGTACTTAACATTATTTTTTTTTCATTATAAAATAATGATAATAATAATAATAATAATTGCAGTTTATTTCTTTAGAACAAAATATAACAATGTTGAATAAGACACACGTTGAGAAAAAAAAAGAAGAGTAAAAACGATAGTAATGTAACTAGAACTTCTCTTTACTGGAACCCAGATAGATAAAGAAATAGAGGCATACAAACAAATGAAGAAAAGAACCAGAGATATTTATAACACAAGGAGGACTTGGAGGGAGGAGCAGGAGAAAGCAAGATATAGTCGGCTACGGCTTGACCTGGCTTGATTTAGTGCTCCAAAGGGGGTGGATGAAAGACGGAAGACATACTTCTGCATTTTCAGTTTCATAAATCTTTAGGCAATCGTTTTTATGGAAGGATGATGATGATGATGATGATGATGATGATGAAGAAGAAGATGAAGAAGAAGGAAAAGAAGAAGAAGGAGGGGTGGAAGAAGAAGTAGTAGAAGAAGCCATAGATCAAGGTAAACCTTGTTATTTCTGCGGCATCGTTACCTGAAATATATTGTTCGAATAGAAAATGAAGCTTACCTGAAATATGGCCTTGTCTTGGAACAAGCAATTTGAAGATGATCGCACGGCCACAGAGCTTGAAGTTCGATGTCTGCCATGACTACTGGAGGAGCAGAAAGGGTCATCTCGATCATCTGCGCGGAGAATTGGCTGTTGTTGGTGCAAGGTCGGATGATGTTTCTGGTCTTTGCGACTGTAAATTTGACATGGGCTGCTTCTGCATATTTGGAAAACAAAGAACGATTCTAAGTTTGGAAGCATCAAGGGATACAAATGTGTTTACATTACACAAAAACAAGACATTCTACCAAATAAATGTAAAAGGAGAATCTTGTGAATATTTTGGCCAAACAAGATCCCGATTCAGAAAGGAAAACATAATGTTCATCACTGGCAACATTTAACGGATGAAGATGGGGGGGGGGGGGGGGGGATGGCTGGAAGGGTATGTTTCCAGAATGTCTTGTGACACGTCGGCAAGACAGATGGAAGTTGAATGTTGAATTAAGAATCGACATCACAGCACTCGGAACACCCCCACAAGCGCTCCGTCCCCATCTTTAAAAGCAGGACAGATGGAAAAGGGAGACACGGATGACCTATGGAAACCCGGAGAAGGATAACAGAAAGGGAAATAATGGACTATAAACTGATATAGGATACTATAGGCATGAAAGCAGCAGAGCGGCATTAGTGGATATTCCTTGTGGACAACTTGTGGGTCAACTGCGACACGAAGTGGATACAGATAAAGACGGAATATGTTTACGAGTTACATGATTTGTAGCAGTGGTTCCCCACATTTTTTCATCGCGGAGCTCTTTTAGATTTAATTTCGGTAGCAAAGCGCCCCCCCCCCCCCTTTAATACATACCTTATGCCTTATAAGTTAATCGTATTAGGAAGTAATGTTATGAAGCGAGAGAAGAACAGCAGATTGTCATTTTTGTGTCTTATGTCCAGTTTCATATCATTTATTCACTATCCTGTTATGATATAATATGATATATAGGGCTCACAGTCTATTCCTCTATTCAGTTCTGTGATGTGCGATCAGCTCAGTATCATAGATGGAATCTACCCCAGCAGCTTTGGCCTCTCTCATCAACTTTAAAATATTTGTTTTTATATATTTTTTTTAATGTTCACTTTTGGGCGTCCTCGCCTTTTAATCCATTTATTTCTCATTTTCATGCCCGTTTGGTGATTCTCTGCTGGTTTCTTCTCATGATGTGACTTATAGCGCCATCTTCTCTGTTTCATAACTATTATTTCTTTTCTTCTTCGATCCTTATGTCAGGAAAACTGTTACGTGTAAAAGGACGCCGGTAGCCTTTGTAAAAGCTATTGTACAGTCCTTATCGTCACGTGTATCATACAGCTTGTCTTCATTGTGGTTGGAACCGGCCAGATCACGCCACTGTTGTCAGCATACAGTTGACAGTGTTGGAGCACATGCTCAGCATTTTCGGGTTCCACGCAGCAGGGACACGTCTCCGTGTTTCCAACACCGACAAGTTTGAACATATTTTGACGAGTCGGTTGTGCCCTGTCTTTACGCTGAATATAATACACTGCCCTTCTCTAAAGAGGCAATAAAGCTGTTTTAACTATTGATTATAGAGATAGTCCAGACCTTTCTCTTATTTCTTCGCTCCTTTTGAATTCATCCCATTTTATGTTCATCATTTTGTATTGTTAGTTTCCTAGAGCTGCCGCGGAGCACGCGCGTATTTTAGTGGAGTAGGATGTTTCAAAATTCAAATCGGCGTGACTTCTGAAATAGACTGTTCACGATAAGATCATGCACATCGAGTGGTGATCCCACAATGGATTGCAATTACCAGATCATGCACATCGAGTGGTGATGCCAGAGTGGATTGCACCCACCAGATCATGCACATCGAGTGGTGATCCCACAATGGATTACAGCCACCAGATCATGCACATCGAGTGGTGATGCCAGAGTGGATTACAGCTACCAGATCATACACATCGAGTGGTGATCCAACAGTGGATTGCAACCACCAGATGATGCACATCGAGTGGTGATCCCACAGTGGATTGCAGCCACCAGATCATGCACATCGAGTGGTGATGCCAGAGTGGATTGCAGCCACCAGATCATACACATAAAGTGGTGATGCCACAATGGATTGCAGCCACCAGATCATGCACATCGAGTGGTGATCCCACAATGGATCGCAGCCACCAGATCATGCACATCAAGTGGTGATGCCACAATGGATTGCAGCCACCAGATCATGCACATCGAGTGGTGATCCCACAATGGATTGCAGCCACCAGATCATGCACATCGAGTGGTGATGCCAGAGTGGATTGCAGCCACTAGATCATACACATCGAGTGGTGATCCAACAGTGGATTGCAACCACAAGATCATGCACATCGAGTGGTTATCCAACAGTGGATTGCAACCACTAGATCATGCACATCGAGTGGTGATCCCACAATGGATTGCAGCCACCAGATCATACACATCGAGTGGTGATGCCACAATGGATTGCAGCCACCAGATCATGCACATCGAGTGGTGGTCCCACAATGGATTGCAGCCACCAGATCATGCACATCGAGTGGTGATGCCAGAGTGGATTGCAGCCACCAGATCATGCACATCGAGTGGTGATCCTACAGTGGATTGCAGCCACTAGATCATGCACATCGAGTGGTAATCCCACAGTGGATTGCAACCACCAGATCATGCACATCGAGTGGTGATCCCACAGTGGATTGCAGCCACCAGATCATGCACATCGAGTGGTGATGCCAGAGTAGATTGCAGCCACCAGATCATACACATCAAGTGGTGATGCCACAATGGATTGCAGCCACCAGATCATGCACATCGAGTGGTGATCCCACAATGGATTGCAGCCACCAGATCATGCACATCGAGTGGTGATGCCACAATGGATTGCAGCCACCAGATCATGCACATCCAGTGGTGATCCCACAATGGATTGCAGCCACCGGATCATGCACATCCAGTGGTGATGCCAGAGTGGATTGCAGCCACCAGATCATACACATCGAGTGGTGATCCAACAGTGGATTGCAACCACAAGATCATGCACACCGAGTGGTGATCTAACAGTGGATTGCAGCCACTAGATCATGCACATCGAGTGGTGATCCTACAGTGGATTGCAGCCACTAGATCATGCACATCGAGTGGTGATCCTACAGTGGATTGCAGCCACTAGATCATGCACATCGAGTGGTGATCCCACAGTGGATTGCAACCACCAGATCATATACATCGAGTGGTGATCCAACAGTGGATTGCAGCCACTAGATCATGCACATCGAGTGGTGATCCTACAGTGGATTGCAGCCACTAGATCATGCACATCGAGTGGTGATCCTACAGTGGATTGCAGCCACTAGATCATGCACATCGAGTGGTGATCCCACAGTGGATTGCAACCACCAGATCATACACATCGAGTGGTGATCTCACAGTGGATTGCAGCCACCAGATCATGCACATCGAGTGGTGATGCCACAAAGGATTGCAGCCACCAGATCATATACATCGAGGGGTGATCCCACAGTGGATTGCAACCACTAGATCATGCACATCGAGTGGTGATCCCACAGTGGATTTGCAACCACCAGATCATACACATCGAGTGGTGATCCTACAGTGGATTGCAACCGTTGATGGCCTGGTACCAGGAAATCGATGAATGCTGGCTGGCTGGCATGTATCGTCACACTGAAACTTCAAAAGCCGATAAATCTCTATAGTGTTCACCCCGAATAACAGAGTTCTGCGCCTCCTTGGTGCATGTCAAAAATGGAGCGGCAGTCTGTAAACTGTCATTATCACGTTAACGTACTCGTCTGCACCGTGATATCACGTGCTTAACACTTTTGCCGTCCTTAACAGCAATACTGACAATAGTCTGTCAACATTACTGGGACACGTGGACATGCAGTCTCTGGGTACTCAAGCGTGAGAGGTAATGAAGGACAGTTTAGGGTGTGTATGTGTGTGTGTGTGCGCGTGCGTGCGTTTGTGTGTGTGTGTGTGTGTGTGTGTGTGTGTGTGTGACCGACCCCCAAACACGCATTTTGGTAAAGTCGACTAATTAGAAATTTTTCCTTCTAAGTCGGAGTGTGTCTGCCTGAGAGACAAGGAAAAACAATCTGCACACAAATAAGCCAGATCTGTAAAACGGATGTGCACGCAAAACTCAAATTCTGAAACAAGACTAAAGTTCAGAAGTGGACGAACAACCAGATCTTTCCACTTGCGTTTATAGCAGGTAAACGCCAAGAAAAAGAAGAATCGACAGTCCTTCCTTTAAGGAGCGATAAACATGGGGTAACATTTCTGAAATGTTAAGATCCTACCTGAGTTCTGGCAGAAAGGATGTTGTACCAAAACTGTCATTACCCTCCTGTAGGCTGGCATTGACATGGGCCACAGTACCAATGATATCGATCCCACTGCTTGCCCCTTGAAGCTTTCTGTCTTTATCGGTGTCCATGATTCTGTGGACATCATAAGTCTGTGATCACAGGGTCAGCGTTTCATGTTTTAGAAGAGCAACATCCAGGTAAGTTGAACAAAAGTGTGTCCTTTCCCATGCCTTCAGGTGTATTGGGCACACAGAGTCAGACCTACACTTTATAGACCAATTCGCACTCGGCAACTTCACGCCGACCGCCTTTACTTCCAAGGACTTTGCCTGGTACCCACTTAATACTGACTGGGTTGACCTAAGAGCCAAAGCCATTTTTTTTTAAATGTCCGGCTCCGTCACGGATTGAACCTACGACCAACAGATCCGCAGGCGAGCGGCTAGCTGCTAATTCCTTAACATACAGGTAGCACTTGAAAAAAAAATGCAGATGTTCACCACAAAGTGTCTAAAAAGGTGCGGGAGTTCCTTTCCCTTTATTTCGTCACATCTCGGGGTCGCAAGAGACTCCGCGTGGAGTTTCCAGGAATGTCCAATCCTGGGGGGAGGGGGGGGGGGTGCTAGGGTTAGTGTTAGTCTGTGTTCATTTCACACCCTAACACCCCTATACTATTGGACTTTCCCGGGAACTGCCCACGAAATCTCGGAGTCCCCGAAATGGGGGGAAATATAAGAAATGAACCTGCCGGTACTAACCAGTGAAAGCTTGATGTTGAAAAATGATGCCTAGAAAGTGCGAGATATGCGTACTGTTGAGTACTGCCAGAAAGAAAATGTATACAAAATGCAGCGGAAGATATGCAAAGAAATATGACTAACAAAAAATAAATTGTGCAGTATCCTTTATAAGTTCTTTCTTCAAATATACAACAGGGAAACTTGTATCGGCACCTTTTTAAGACACTGTGTTGAGTACTGGCACCGTTTTTTTCCCCTGGGGGGGAAAAAAGAAACTGCCACCAGGCTCGACTGGGAATGCGGCAGTACAGTCAACTGCAGCTGGCCTTTGGCCGATGGTCATGTGTTCAAATCCTTAACAAGACGAAGATTTAAAAACAAAATATCATTTGAAGTAGAAGCGGCAAGTGTGATACTGATCAATCGTGTGTCGGTTGTTGCATACACACAAACATAGAGCTAAAACCACATACATACACGTCTCTTGGCGAGAAAATAGGTCCTTTGCTTTCTTTTTCTGGTAAGGACTACTCTTACTGCATAAGGCAATGCCAACCAGCACACACACACACACAAAACTCATACAAAGCATTCTCATTCCTACCCTATGCTACCAGTGCTAGACGTGGTCATTCACAACAAAACATAAAAGAAAATTAGTAACCATGGAAATGAGGTTTATGAAAAAGACTAGAATCAGAAGAGATAAAATCAGGAGTGAGGTCATACGAGATAGAGTCGACACAGAACCAATTCTAAATTACATACAAAGACAGTAAATCCAATGGTTTGTCCACTCGGAGAGAATGCCTTCTGGTGCTATACCATACAAAGCATATACCACAAGAGAAGAGGCTAGAAGAGCGTGAAGAGGGACCTTATAACTCACTCGGCACCTAAAGCGGTAAAAGAGGACGTACAAAGAAGAAGAGAAGGACTGCCAAGTCTAGACCCGTGCCAGGTTGAAGAGAAATCTGGTTCTTGTTCCGACAGGACTGCAGGTTACACCTGGCTGTGGTAGCTGTTACGGCTGCTCTGGCTGTAACTTCTGTGGAGGTTGAACGGGGTCTCTTGGGACCCTTGTTGCTGGTTTGCTATCCAGATAGCGAAAAAAAAAAAATTTTTATGGTAAACATTTGGGTAGCGCCTGGAAGGGACAAATAAAGTGATCGATTTGTCGACCAAGGAAACACCATCTGTGATGAGAGATGTCTGGGTGTTATATAGCTAAGAGCACAGTACGGACTGATTTGGTACTTCCTGTACGTATCTAGTACAATAAACAAATCGCCATGCTCTGACTGACACTTGTAGATACTAATTACGATTATATATTTCACTGGTCGCCTTTTTCTTCTCGGTCAGCAGCTGCAGATTCCGACGGAAAGTTCTGGTTGATCGTCTGCTTTCAGACTTTAGTCTTGTCCCAGAACTTGAGCTTTACGTGCACATTCGTTTTACTGATAAGCTCAACAATGGAGTCGCGCTAACGTACTGGCAAGGCACTCACCCGTCCGAAGGTTTTGAGTTCGGTCCGCATTAAGCCTGAAATTGTTTTTCTTCAAATGGACTTTAGCTCTCATGTTGACCAAGACCAAAATGGCAACCAGTAATGTACTGGGAAGTAAAGGTGGTCGGTGTGATTTTACCAGATCCCCCATCGAGTGCTTCTTGGTATGTCAAAATGTATGCCTTTTGTCTAAAACTGTGCCCGATGCGACACTGACGTAAAGGTTCTGTACATGACTTTACAAGCACGTTTACTTCAGCGGTCTCATTGGTTAACCTACGATTTAATTGTTTACATTTCTCGGCGGCAAATCTTCTCATTCTTCTTTGCGTTCGGTTTCGTATGCTCAGATCAGACTATCAGGTGGGTTGCTTCTATGAACTCGCATGTCAGCTGCAGGTCTGCATGGTTCACCATAGCTTGCTCTGCACACTTTGCTCTTGAGGCCAGGTGTCTTTTCGAAGTTGCAGGTAGAGTGGGCAGGTCTGCAGAATGTGCTGAGGTGTCTCAGGAGCCTCTGATGGCAGTGGTAACACGTCGCAAGCTAGCTTGGTTTGGGAACGTGGTGAGACATGATTCGATTGCAAAGACTTTACTTCAAGGAACATTGGGAGTAGTCGAAGAAGAGGAGGGCAAAGAAGAGCCTGAAATGGCAACATCAAGAAATGGACAGGACTAAGTTATCATACATTTATTCATCAAGCGGAAGACAGAGAAAGTTTGCGGGTTTTATGTACTAGTGCTTCCACCAATACACGCCCATGACAATAATGGGTCAAGGGTTATGTTATGTTATGCTATGTTATATCTCGGCCAATAATGTCCCGCTCTCGGGTTTTATTTATTTCATTGTCAACTATTAAGTATTGCACAGATCATCCTCAGTGCCTATCGGGAAAGGGAGTGGAGGGAAGGGGGCGGAGTGGGAGGGGTCAATCCATAAATGCTCGGATCCCCTCCTCGGTAAATCTTGCAGCATGATTAGTGAGTGATTAGTGATTACAAAGGATTATCATCACAGCACTCCGGACAGATCCATAGGTGCTCCGATCTCCTCATCAAAAGCTCCACAAATGTAAAACCACTGACGACACCTGTTCTGTGTTGGTTAATGAAACGTCTTTCCCCTTAGTGAAATGTTCATTTCTTGCAGCTCCAGGCTGCACCCCCATGTCCCTCGGTCTAGACAGAGATATGGAGTCATGTCCTTGGGCGTGCTTCTCGGTACGGTAAGTGCAGCGCATGGTACTGATAACATTACTTCTGTCCAATACTGGGCCAGCCATAGCAACTGCAGTGTCAGCATGATAGTCTGCACGCTCGTTCCCTTGAACACCCACATTACCTGGCATACCAGCGCTATGCTAGTTCATTCTTCGTCTTTGGCTTTCTGCACTCCTTTTAACTTGCTGTTCCTGCAGTCTGGTCATGCCTGAAGATTCATATCCATCTCCTGATCGTGGCTTAAGACAAATGTCTTACTTCTCGTTGAATTTAATAATATTATAACTCTGATTAATTGCTTTTCAGTCCTCCATATTAAATGCAAACCTGTTATCGTGTTCATTATCAACAGACTATAACTAAATGGTCATAATGTACGGTAAACTAATGAAATTTAAAATATTAAATAACAGATGATATTAAGAAAACTGAGAATTTGACCTCACAGGTCATCATATATCGGCGCTTACCTGATCTTATTTTGGATTCATGGATGCGAATGATTTTTACAGCTTTCAAACCTTGATAAGTCATACGTCGCACCAATACGCACTACTGGAAAAACCCGTTTAGACTTCCCGGCACTCGAGGTCGTCGTCATCATCATCATCATATACATTCCGTCACCCTCATCATCATCATCACCATCTGCCCTAACCTTCATCTTTGTGCCAGGTCATGTGGGTGTTCAAAGGAACGAGCGTGCAGACTATCTTGCTGACACTGCAGTTGCTATGGCTGGTCCAGTACTGGACAGCAGTGGTTTTATCAATGCCATGCGCTGCACTTACCGCACAGAGAAGCACGCCAAAGGACATGACTTAATATCCCTGTCTAGACTGATGGACATAGGGGTACAGCCTGGAGCTGCAAGAAATGAACATTTCACTAAGGGGACAAGACGTTTCATTAACCAACACAGAACAGGCGTCATCAGTCGTTTTACACTCGTGGAGCTTTTAAGGAGGAGATCGAAGCACTTATGGATGTGTCCGGAGTGCTGTGATGCTAATCCTTTCTAATCACTAATCACGAATCATACTCATTTTCCAGTGTTGCCCTTATGGTTCTTTACCCGCAAAGAACTAAAGGTTACACTTGCCTGGCGTAGCCGTTACGGATGAGGTAATTATAACTTCTTTGAGGTTGAATTACTTATCTGGGATCTGCTTACGGATATACAATCAGACGGCTACTGGTGCAATCGGGATTGGAACTCTTCGTTTGCTGCTGAAAATGGGGACTGAGCACTTATGGGAGTGTCCCGAGTGCTGTCATGTCGAGTCTTAATTCAACATTTAACAGATCTTCATCGTAACCATGCTGTGCTTTGTCTGAATACATCACACATGACAGCCAATCTATTCTTCCACTGTGTTTTGTCATATCCAGTACTTGCGATATCAGGCATAAAATCCAGCCCTCACTTTTAGCCTCTCTCGTCAAAGTTCATTTAAAGTTCCTTTTTGGACACGATGTTTCCTCATTCCTTCTGATTCCCATTTCAGTGTTTCCAATTTTGGGGCCCGAAACATAACTGTTTTATACGGCTAAAATGAGTTTCTGTGATTACTTCCTGTTGGATTCGCACCTACACATTGACTTAGTTAGTTAGTTAGTTAGTTAGTTAGTTAGTTAGTTAGTTAGTTAGTTA